CCCTCTTGGAACAGAGATCACGATGACACAGCATCAACACGTTCAGGAGGAACCCCGGGCCCTTCCAGCGGCGGCCACACATCACACAGTGGGGATAACAGCAGTGAGCAAGGTAGGAGAGCTGTTCTCATTATTCTCTTTCGCTATTTGTTTCATTTTTAAGGGTCGAAAAACCAGCATTGTCTTTAGTGACTGTTGATACAGTGTTTCCTAGAACATGAGCCCCATATAATTGGAGAATCAGCTCATCCTATTTTATCCCCCGATCTTTTCTTCTCCTGTGCCATTCCAACCACCTGCCTGTCACCTGGCCACCTCCATAAAACGGGGTCAGTGAATTGACCCAGGGCAAGATCAGAGAAGTGCATTAGAAGTTGGAATGTGCATCAATAGTATGCTGCTAATGCCCTGCTATACAAATAAAAGGTATTATTATTACTTGCCCTTCGAGGCTTTTCGAGAGCTCATGAAGAAACACCCACTAGGATTCCAAGTTAACGATGTCTTAAGATACTTAGAAGGAAGTGGGCCTTTCAGAAATTCATATTGGGCGTACCTCTCCCCTCGGTTGAAGCCATTTTCCTGAATTTACTTCTCCGAATCTCTTAAGTGCTTGACTTCATTGCAAAGTCAGACAAAAGGGAGTTGGGAAGAAATGGAAAGAAACCAAATCAATTTGATTTGTGGTGTTCTTTGAAATGCACATACCTGTGTGTGTATTTGGGTGTCCATGGATATACATGTCTGACGACCACTAGTGGGAAATAAAGTTGAAACATGAAGTTAATCTTCAGCAAAAAGGTGATTGAGGATTCAGATGTTTTGCACTGCTTTTGATGAGACCCACTGTAGTGGATTTTGTGTTCAATTAATGCAACCAAAGTTTAGAAGAGTATTCTCTATATAAATATAAAAAGACGGCTTTATTGAAGTTAACTCTGAGCCCATAGTGGGTACATACTTTAATCTGGTTTGATGCTCATGTTTCATTGGAGCGCTGCTAGGCAACAAAAGAATTTTGTTTTCTAACTTAAATGGACTCTACCAATCAGAATTGCAGTCTACAAAGAACTTAACATGATTAATTTGAAAACCAAAACAGGAAAGTTAATTTTTAGGCACATGTATGCTAGCTGGACTGGGAATAACTTCTATACGTGGAATTTTAAGCATTTGAGACATTTTATTGTTCAAAGAAAAGTTGCTGACTTCATCACAACTCTAAGTCTAGTAAAAATGGAGCCCTGCATAGTAAACTGGTACAGAGCTGAGGCAGAAAGAGGTAACCTCTGACCTCTGACTTTTACTGGAAAATGATATGCAGCATAAATCCACGGGGCCTTTTTTCTTTCAGGTGTTTGTATGTATATGTTATGGAGTCGCTGCTCACGGCGCTCTAGTTAAGGTGATGTCAGCACTTTCGATAGAAAGCCCTGCTTTTCAGAATTCAACTTGCACCATGAGTTTTCAAAAAGGTGTAAATGGAATCTCAGTTCTTTTTTCTGTACTCCAAAATTGCTACATGGGGTCATAGCCTAGCGTTTTGTTTCTTCCTTTCTTTTCCTTTTTCATTTCTGGCTTTTCAAAAAAATATATATCCTCCATGAACAGGCAGGCAGTTCTGCTGCTACTGGAGAGGCTTGGGAACTGCACTTGCACTTGCATTTAAAGTTATAACATGGACGTTTTCTTAAACCTAATCTGATAAAAGGATTTTCAGAGGGCAAATGCCCCAGCCCAGTTCTTTCCCCCCTGACATGTCATAACAAGGAATTAGGAAGTGTGGATGTTTTTTTTCCCTTCAACAAGTGCTCTCCAAAGGCCAATTTAATAATGAATTTGATTGTAAACAAAGAGCATAGATCCTTGACAGCACTAGAGTTTTCTACTTACATTGTTTCTCTTTATATATGGTCATAAAAGACCACCACCTAGTTTTTTTTAAAAGCATTTTTCACGTAAATTATCTCATTGGAATGATCTCACTTGAACATTTCTAAAACAATCCTGCATGGCAGATAAAACTGCTCCAGCCCCATGTGACAGGTGAGGGAAATAAAGTGTGGATGATTTGAAGGATTTGATGAGTTCCTGGTGCAGTGTCAGACCTAAAATTTCGGTTGCCTGATCATTTATCTAGGATTCTTGTCATCATGCCCTTTTTCCCTGGCTCTCCACCAAAGAACTAAAATCAGTTGCTTCCACCGCGATCAAACAGAAACTTAGACCCTTTCTGTCCTGATTTCCCCCTTCCTCTCCTCCACCAGCTGATAACATAGGGGGTAGGAGTCACACCTTGAGTCTCACCTGTCTTCCCCTGTGGGTTCTCTTTGGCAGTGTGATTGATTCCTTGCCACATGCAGAATGATGCCTAGAAGTGTTGCTGCAACGACTGATGTACGTTTCTGTGCCAGCCATGACCCTTCTAAATCTTTTTCTCATCCCCGAGACCTGTGGAGCTGGGTCTTTGTGCAGCCCTCTGATTAACTGTGCACGGTGGCTTCTGCATGTCTCCCCTGTCTGCCTTTTCTGGCAGACATGGATGTGTAAGCCATGCCAGCGTTTGGCCCATAGTGCATGTCCTAAATAGTTATTTACACAGTTTGAGTCCATTTTAGTCAACTGGGTAAATAACAGCCCTCTTCAAAAGATTTATAAATCCATAAATATGTCTTTATACATACCCAATAGACAGAAATAACTCAATCTGTCAAGAACATATCCAAAGAGGTGTTTCCCCCACAGACAGGAGCAATACATATTTTAAAACTTTCTCTACTGTATTATTTGTACTGTGTTTCTTTTTTCCTCAGTCCTTTTCAATTTTCACCATTTCATTATGGCACCTGTGGTACAAAAAAGAAAGAAAGACAGAAATCCCCTAGGTTTGGCCCTCTGTTAAATAACCTTACCTGCTGCACAGTGGAGGCATATAACAGGCTATATATCTCAGCCGAGTCCTATTCTTTTGGACTTTGAAAGTAAATCAAATAAAATAAGTCATCCAGGAAATTTGTGATGTTCTGACAGATTTCAAAATACAGTAACAATTCCTAGTTAGAGTTTCAGCAATTTGAGGGGTTTTGAGTGCCTGATAATTTGCCCAAGTAGCAGCTGTTGTGACCAATGGAATCGTTTTAGTAAAATTCTTACCTAAGCATAAGAATAAAAAGACAGAATTCAATCTTGGGCATTCTAAGGAGAGTATATGTCAGGTAGGTAATTAAGAAAATACCAAAGATATTCTTTTTCTTCAGGGATTTAATGTTTATTCCTGCTTTACATAATAAATCTTTCCCCCAACTCAAATTATTTATCATGCATCTCTTCCTTATGACATCTGTTTTTATTTAATTTTAACACTTGTGACCCCTTGCAGGAAATGGATTTTTTAATAGTGAAGTTCCTTTAAATTGGCATTGAGAAGGAAGGCCTAACAAATGTATTTGGTCGAGGGATCTGCTGCTGTTGCTATGACATTGATTTTGTCTACTCTTTAACTTCCTCAAAGCACTTCCAAAGAGATGAGATTGAGTCCTTATTTTAACCCTGTCCATTATTTGCCATTTTCCCACTTCAGAAGAGAAAAAAGCATAGCTCCGAAATATTGGCGAGTGAGTAACTCTCAGAGTCGGCCCTAGGAGCGTAGTCTCTTGGCTTTGTAACTGCTTTAGAAGGGGGTGTTTCATGACCCCCATGCAGTCTCAGAAGCTGAGGTACACATTGGCAGGTATGTGACTCTCGTGTGCCTTTTTTGTCCTACTGTGTACAGTTGCCCTACTGACCATGATTGGGGCCTACTCTAGGAAGTGTGTGAACACCAAGCAAATAACATGCCCTTTTTGTACTCCTCCCCTGGAGGGCAGACACTCTACAACTCATAAACAGCTTTAGCTATGACTGATCACATTTTAAGTTTGGGCACTTCTCCCTTTTTGGTTCAAAGTCAAGAGAGATGAACACATGGTAGTAATAAAATCACATAATAAGGGCTGACGGTCAGTGTATTTCCATCCTTCACTTTGCAGAGGAGGTCATGGAGGTTTGGAGAGGCTAGGAGACTTGTCCAAAGTCACATACTGTTTGGTGGTAGGTACAGGTAGGACTTGAACCCGTACAGTCTGACTCCAGAGCCCAAGCTCCTAATTTGGGAGCATCCTATTTGATAAAGTACTTTGTGTGGCTAGGAATGAAAAAACTGATCATTTGACGGACATTCTTTCTGTCATGATTTTGTGGACTCCTTCCCCGGTGTCCGCGCTGAGCCTGGCACTGTGCTTTGTCATGGTGACAAAGCTTGGAATAAGAGAGTAAGCGTAAGCCTCAAGTGGGGGTTAGCTTTTGCTGGCCAGTGAGAATCTAGTTTTGTGTGCTAAGTAGAACGGTGGTTGAGATATTTACAGAGGAGCATGATGATTGATATGATTAATGTGTATTATGTATTAAGAGCCTATCGCATTTCACTCATTCAAAGATTTATTGAGAATAGGAACCTAGAAAACAAGTAAGGACGTTTTTCTTGCAGAATATTTTCCACTTGAAGCTCATCGCATTTTCCTCTGTTGTAAGGAGAAAGAAAAAGTCTTATTTCTACATTGAAATTTGATGTAAAACATTTCAACCCTAAAGGGCTTTAATGGTCCCTAGAACCTCGAAAATCCACTTACGAACTTCTTTGGGGAGCAGGACTCAGATCAACAATATATCTTTGCTCCCACTTAAAACGAAAAAAAAAAAAAAGCAAAAACAGCATGTTTCTTTAAAGAGGGACAATTGAAAAGCACTGCTACTTCTTTATAATCATGTATCAATAGTTGCAGTGCCTCCCACTGCCCCATCCCCCTTCCACGCCGGCTTTTGTATGAGTTCAGGCAACCTATAGGCAGAAGGCGATTCCATTTATTACTGAAGGGACTCTCAAGGCCGTTGTTGCAGACCTGTGAGGCCAGAAGGCTGAGCTGAACGGGAGGGGGTGGGGAAGGGCCACATTAGGTTCCAGACGACTAAGCAACGATTTATACACCAGCTCGCCTTCTTACATGAAGAAGAAAAGTAATAACAGCCCAAACCTGGGCATTTGAAACAGTCAGCTGTCTGATGAATAATGGGATA